GAGTCCATCTCAAAAATAAATCAATCAATAAATAAGCCATTTCTGGCCAGGTGCGGTGGCTCACACCTGTAATCCCAGCACTATGGGAGGCTGAGTTGGGCAATATGGGGAAACCCCATCTCTACTAAAATTACAAAAATCAGCTGGGCATGGTGGTCCATGCCTGTAATCTTAGCTACTCGGGAGGATGAGGCAGGAGAATCACTTGAACCCAGGAGGTGGAGATTGCAGTGAGCCAAGATCATACCGCCACACTACAACCTGGGTGACAAAGCGAGACTCTGTCTCAAAAAAAACACAAATGAGCCATTTCTGAAAAGACAAATACTGTATGATTCCACTTATGTGAGGTCTCTCGAGTAGTCAAAGGTGGTTGCCAGGGACTGGGGGGAGGGGAATGGGGGAGCTAGTGTTTCATGGGGACAGAATTTCAGCTTTACAGGATGAGAAAGTTCTAGAGATCTGCTGCACAAAAATGTAAATGTACTTAACCCTACTGAAATGGACACTTGAAAATAATGGCTATGGTGGTAAATTCTGTGTTATGTGTTCTTTACTACAAGTAAAAATAGAAAAATTATTTTTTTAAAAAAGTAACCAAAAGCTGGAGGCTGAGACAGGAGAATCGCTCGCTTGAACCTGGGAGGCGGAGGTTGCAGTGAGCTGAAATCATGCCACTGCACTCAAGCTTGGGCAATAGAGTGAGACGGAAGGAAGGAGGGAAGGAGGGAGGTAGGGAGGGAGGGAAGGAGAGAGAAAGAAAGGGAAAGAGAAATAAATAAATAAATCCTGGACAATCGACGCTCCCAGAAAAGGACAGCCGAATGTAGCATCCATTCATCTCTGCCTGCTGTCCAAACCACATGAAAATGATACGGAATAAAAGTGGGGGCTAAGCCCACAAAGACAAAGAGATCACAGAGGAAAAGAGAAATAAAGGATTTCATGGTGACAACTAAAGACAGTCTATGTGACAACTCAGCACAAAGAGAGTGCCTAACACATGGCACTTACCACTATCACCAAATTACTTTGTGTTGTTTTTTTTGAAATGGAGTCTCACTCTGTTGCCCAGGCTGGAGTGCAGTGGCACCATCTTGGCTCACTGCAACCTCTGTCTCCCGGATGCAAGCAGTTCTCTGCCTTAGCCTCCGGAGTAGCTAGGATTACAGGCACCCGACACCATGCCTGCCTAATTTTTGTATTTTTTTTAATAGAGACAGGGTTTCACCATCTTCGCCAGGCTGGTCTTGAACTCCTGACCTCGAAATCCACCTGCCTTGGCCTCCTAAAGTGCTGGGATTACAGGCGTCAACCACGGTGCCTGGCCAACTATCACCGAATTTTAATAGCACATTGCAAATTTCAGTTTTAGTGCCATTGAAACCCAAGGAAAAAATATTGATCTTTCTTTTTCTGTGTAGAAACTCCCATTTAAAAGTTTGGGCTCAGTGTTTTGTTGCTATGTTGATATTTTTCAACCATGTCTTTTTAAATGTTTTCATTAGGAATCCCCAAAATATTGTTTGTGGGTAAACTTGAGGTCAAACAGCAGACTGACTTTAAGATGTGTTCAACGAGGCAAAAATGCCAGTTTGCCTTCTTAGAGGGACAAAATGGTCAAAACTCATGAAAAGTGGGGAAAAGAGAGGGAAAGAATAAATGAAAGCAGACGACGAGGAGGAAAGAGGTGAAAATAGGGGGCTAAGGAGGAAAGGAACCCGGAGAAAGGACCGAAGGTATCAGGACAGCCGGGCGAATATCGGGCGTTTCCTTCCACCAGCATGGCGCTAAAACCACAGTGAATTCACCGGCTTCACTGCATTATCCCTCGTCTCCTCCCCAGACTCCCTCATCACTCACCCAATTATCTGCTACCCGACTCCTCCCTTGCCTCTGGTCCACCCCAAAAGGCGGTGGCCCAGGGAGCACAGGGAGGGTCCCCCAATCCCAATCCCACCCTCAAGGCCCTGTGGGAGCTCAGGCTCTGACTCAGGACCCCTGAGCCCCGACCTGAGGGACGCTTTTCATCCTAAATCACCTAAGCCTCAGTTTCCTTTAGGATAGCAGGCACCACCTCCCTGGGCTGCCTTGTAGAGAAGGACCATCCAGGTACTGTTCTGCCCATACACATGCTTCCTAAGTCTTTGTAACTTACTATTATTTCCTTTGATATTTTTTGGCTCTAAATAGGCTTTTCTGGTTTTGTCAACATGCCCCCTTTGATTTCCTATTTTAGGATGAAATAGCCTACACTCCAGGTAATTCTCTACCCGTTAGAAATGCCCTGGACTGCTACCCTAATGGATTCTCCCTCTCCCTGCTCTGACACTGAAATCAAGAACGACAGAGCTGTGTTTCTGATTAAACACGGAGGATCTTCTCTGCCCATCCGCAAAGATCCCACTCAGCTGAGGGAACCTGGGTGGGGAGACATACATCCACATAAACAAGTAGAAAACAAACAGGCTGGGAGTGATTTCCAGACCATGGCGGGGGCTGAAGAGCAGGCTGGTGCAGTGGCCAACCAGGATGGAGAAGGCGGGTTTGGCACCTGGGGTGGAGGCCAGCGAAGAGCAGGGAATCTGAGCTCCCCCTGGGAGGGTGCTGAACGCAATGGGATGCGCAAATCCCCATAAAGAGCAGGAAGACACTCCCTGCCCCACCCCACCCTGGCTTCCCAGAGCAGCAGCAGGCAGAGCTGAAGACCCAAGGCTGCAGGAGTCAGGTCTCCAAACACTGAGCCAGCAGAGAGGGAACACAGGACCCGCCACTCACCTGAGGGGCCCGAGGAGACTGTCTGGGGATAATTGAGGGGCTGTGCATGGAGAACAGCGAAGCCACAGGAAAACATAAGAACAGCGGCCATCTCCAAGAAAAGCAAGAACCCACAGGAAAACATAAGAACAGCCGCCATCTCCAAGAAAAGTAAGACATTATACAAGGAGAGAAACACAGTCCCCACATAGCAAGTGGCTCAGCTGCAATATTCACATAGTTTCAATAATGTCAACACTGAAACCTGATTTTAACAATAACACAGTTCTACCAGAGGACCCTGGGGGAACGTATGGGGGAGTCGGGGAGCAGCCAGTAGGTTAGAGGTTCGTCTCCCACCGAAGGACATCAATAGGGAATGCAGAATCAATCTTTCTTTCTTTCTTTCTTTTTTTTTTTTTTTTTTGAGACGGAGTCTCACTCTGTCACCCAGGCTGGAGTGCAGTGGTGTGATCTTGGCTCACTACAACCTCTGCCTCCCAGGTTCAAGTAATTCTCCTGCCTCAGCCTCCCAAGTAGCTGAGATGGCAGGCACCCGGCCACTATGCTCAGCTACTTTTCGTATTTTTATGTATTTATTTATTTAGAGATAGAGTTTTGCTCTTGTCACCCAGGCTGGAGTGCAATGGCCCGATCTTGGCTCACTGCAACCTCTGCCTCCCTGGTTCAAGTGATTCTCCTGCCTCAGCCTCCCAAGTAGCTGCAAATACAGGCGCCCACCACCATGCCCAGCTAATTTTTGTATTTTTAGGAGAGATGGGGTTTCGCCACGTTGGCCAGGCTGGTCTTGAACTCCTGACCTCAAGTGATCCGCCCGCCTCAGCGTCTCAAAGTGCTGGGATTACAGGCAAGAGAGACTGCCCAACAGCTGAAAACCTGAATGGTTTAGTTGGACTACACCACACTCAGAATTAGAGGTCAAAATGTTAAAAATGAATAAAGCTCCCACAGTTCGCCTCTACCGCTGCTGGGATGGCAGTATTGTTGTGGATCCAACACATTCAGCTTATTCATTACATTGGGAATAAAACGTATCTGCAGAACTTATTTGGGGATAAATATATTAAATAAAAAATGACAATGTCAAAAATAACAGTGAACCTCAAAAGCTGCGCATTTATGAGTTTAAAATATGCTTTTCTTCTACAGATGCATCCCTTAACAAATGATGCAGAAGACATGCTCCGAAGTGATGTCATGAACAGAAATATTAAAATATGTGTTTAAATAAGCTTCCCTCGTTAGCTATTCACTGCTTATTCAATAAAGCTAACCAAATGCAGATAGATCACAGTGTCAGGATCAAAGTCTTGTGCTTGCCTGGACTGGAATGCCAAGTAAAAACAGATGCTTATTCGGTATCTTTGATCATGCCAAAGCTGGTTATTTTGCAGTCAATTAAAATATCTTTGCCTTGCTATGACTGCAACTTCCTCTTCACCTAAATTTACCTTAAGGCTTCTCCCTCTTAGGTACGCTACTGTTTTTACCGGAATGAATATACCTTAGATTTTTTTTTTTCTTTTTAGGCTTTGATGGAGCTTCCACCGTTCATTTCAGTGACCATATGACTTCTTCGTAGGCAGCAAAAAATTTGGTTCCCCAAAGAGCGTCCTTCCTTCAAATCCATTTCATACTTCGGCTGCTCGGATGGTAAAGGGGACTGCGAGCAGAACTGGGACAGCACTTTTCCGAGTGTGCCGAGGTGCCCCAGGGCCACCCTCACTCAGGAGCGGACTCGGGGTCACGCAGACGTCTCTGCAGGATGCTCGGACACTGCGCCACGGCCTCACGCGCGCCCGTGGAAGGGAATTCGGCTCTCACCGTGGGCTCGCGCCGGGCTGCCCCGCGAGGGGGCACCGTGGGCGTTTCCCAGGCTCTCCCCGCCACTGGTCAACGGCCCTGCACGCGCCCCACACCTTCCCCAGCGCGCGCGGCGCTCAGTGGGTTTGCGGTTGCGAAACCCCACACCTGGCGCGCCCCACGGACCGCAGCCCCACAGTGCGCGGGCCCAGGACACGGCGCGAGGCATGAGAGCCCGACTGGGATGCGCGGCACCCCGGGACCCTGCTCTCCCCGCAGCCCACCCCACCAGACGCCTCCGCCCACGAAGCCAGCGCGGAGCGCGCCACCGGCTCCCCGGCGAAGGCCCTGGGATGCGCCGCCAGCCCCTGGAGCCGGCGCGGCGGCCTCGCCCTGCCCCCCGCAGCGCCCGCACGCACCCACGTCGCCAAGGAAGTAGCCGTCCGCCGCCCGGGGCTCCATGCGGCTCGACCGGCGGCCGCGCCGCGATTCGGGGCGCAGGGACCTGGGACTGAACCCGCGGGGCCGCTGGGCGGGGCCAGTCTGCGCGGGGCTGTGCGTCGGCCCGAGGCGACCGCGTCGGGAGTTGTAGTTCCCGCCGCCTTGGCGAGGTTCCTGGCGGCGCTGTCACTGCGTCCCGACTCGGCTGTCACGGCCACACCGCTTCGCCCGTCGAGCCGGGAAGTGTGTGTGCTTGCACCTGCAAACCGTGCGTCCCGTGCAAAACGTGTCCTGTGTACGTGTCCTATGCAAACGTGTCCTTGTGCAAAACATGCATCCTGTGTATATGTCCTGTGCAAACATGCGTCTGTGTGTAAACATGTATTCATTGCATACTTCCCTGGGTCCCTGTGCGCAGCATGGATATGTGTTTCCATGTGCAAAGCGTGTGTCCTGTACAAAACATGCATCCTGTGCGCGTGTCCCGTGCAAGCGTGTGCAAAACATGTGTCCATGTATAAACATGTATGTATTGCAGACGTGTCCTGTGCAAGCATGTGTCTGTGTGTCCATGTGCATAGCATGCGTCTAGCTGCGGGAGCTCACTTGCAGTGTATTGATGCTGATGGTGCTCCAGACTCCTTGAGTTCCCCCAGGCTTAACTTTCTGGAAATGCTTACCACCACAGCCGGTGTTCAGAATCACTGCTTCTTTCAAGATAATAATTTCAAATCGTTCAAATCAATTTTTTGATTACCTTTTATTAAAAGATAATCAAACACCTTTGATTACACCTTGGATTACAGGTGTTTTTAATCCAATGTTCCCCTAAGCAGCTTAGCAAAGGGAAGCAGGGGCACAACCTAGCAGAAATGAAAAGCCTGTTTCCTGTTTCCCAAATGATACCCAGTCAACAATCGAGTAAGGGAGTTTTGTTTTGTTTATTTATTTTTGCAGAGTGGCTTCCCAAATTTAGAAGGTTTAACCTTGTCAAAGTTCACTGTAGCCTTGTCAGGAGATTCGTCACTCACCTGACCTGTACTGAACGTCAATACGGTAGAGTTTGGGCTCAAAAGTGAAAATATCAGGAGTCATTCAGTCTGGAAATAGGTGAGGACTGGCAGAGAGCAGCCAGTTGATCTCTCACTCTACAAAGCCTCTCAGATGACCCAGATCGCCATCTTCAGTCCAGACTGAGGGCGCTATACCTAGGGGACATTGAACCATATCGGATGGAAAGCAGAGCCCTGGAAATGTGGAGCCCCAGGCCTGCGAATGGAATTTCAAGCCGTTAGCACCGTGCATTTAGAGCCCTTTTGCCACTTTCTACTGAAATCAGGCTCCTGCATTTTTCTTTCGAGTTTTCTGCACTTTTTACTAAATGTAATCGATTTTTGTATCATTATATTTGACATGAATTGTATATTTTCCCCTGTGGCAATGTCGTGTTGGTATGTTTGCATTTTCTTCAATATTTCGTCCTGGACAAAGTGTCATCTAAATTTGAGTATGATCATGTAGAATATGTATATGCATATGTGTATGTGTGTTATGCAAGTGTTTGCTAAATATATTAAAAAGCAAGTATTTGTGTTTTTCCTCCATTTTGTTGCTTGATTAAAATATTAAAATATTTCATTACAGAAGAAGCTTTTTAAAGTTTATGTATATATTCAGAAATACATTCCCTGCAAGTATTTCCTTTTTCTTCAATATTTAAAATATATTTCCCCAGCAAGAGCCAGAAGATATATATTATTCTGTTCTGTTCTGTTCTGTTGTTAAGTCTTTGAGTCCCATCTAGAATTCTCTGCACTGTATAGAATGAAAATATAGGAGCTCAGTTCTTTCTTCTCTAAACTGAAACAGACTTTTTCCCAAAACATTCATTAAATAGTCACTCATTTATTTTTGTCTTAATCTCTTTTTATTGGCTGTTGGTTCCAATTACCTTTTGAATCTATTATAAGAACCTCTATAATATTGATAAAGTTTCTATCATTCATTTAGCAAATATTTGCTGATGACCTAACCTAAGGTGGGTGATTTTTCAACTAACTACCACATGTGTTTTTAAAATAAATGTCATTTTACAAGATCATCACTTTTTTGTTAGCATTTGAAAATCTGATAAGACCCCTATTTGGAAAGTGGTATGGTTAGGGGCTCCCCCAACACATCATGAATTGAGATGTGTTAACCCCTGGTTTTTCTAATAAAGACAGTCTTCGTATCACAATTTTTAGAGTCTCCTAGGTCATAAGATATTCTTCTTTTGCCTCCAAAACAAATAGTCAGGTTGGGTGAGGACTAAATTTGTAGGAAATCCAATTCTATCTGCTTGGATAAGCCATTTTTCTTAAACTTACTATCTTGAGAGAACAAGGTTTTGTTAAACATGTATATTTCTGAGTTTCTCCTGAAGATTCTGGGCTCCAGGGAAAGACCTGAGAGGCAGCCCTGTATTTTTTTTAACCATTGCCAAAAGTTTGGCAAACACTGGTATACCCCATCCTCCAAATGCTATGAGGAAGCATTTCATTTACAATTCATATAGACTGATTATTTCCTAAATAGAAGAGTACTGAAGAATATATAGGGTTCTTCAAGTTTTGGTTTCTTTCTCCCGTTGTTAACTTTTCAGATTCCTTAGGAGGTCAGCTGGTGCAGTAGCACACACCTGTAATCCCAGCTACTTGTGAAGATCACTTAAGCCCAGGAGTTTGAGACCAGGCTGGACAATACAATGAGACCCCATCTCTCAAAATAAATTCAGAAAAAAAAATGTTTAAAGCCCTTGGGAAGTTGCTTTTGGTAGCTTGTCTGGTTTTTATTTGTAGCAGTGGCAGACAGAGACTGTAATGGGCTGGAACCTTCCTGGCTGGCACAAGAAATTCTGATCTGATTGGATTTAAGGAAAAAAAAGTCATCAGGTTAGGGCCTTCTCCAGCTCAAAGACCAGGCCAGGGCCCAGAAATCTTATATGGCCACCCTGCAAAACACCCTTATCTCTCATAGCCACACAGCCAAGATTTCTGAAAACTAAACTCAAAGTATAAGCTTGCAGGTGACTAAAACAATGCAGATTTGATTCTTTTTTTTTTTTTTTTTTTTT